CGGGGCGGGGACCCCGTTACCCGTCCCCGCCTTGGGGAATAATTCCCCGTCCCATCCTCGCCCCGTTACCCGTTTAAGCGGGTTTTCCCCTCCCCATTCGGGGCGAGTCCTCGCGGGTATCGGGTTTGTCGGGTTTTTTTGTCATCCCTAATTTGTGACTATCACATCACCACTGCCACCAATCGCATCGCCGCCCAAAACCACCACCACCATCTCTCGACAGTAAAACCATAATCTTACACATCGCAACCAACATCACCACCACTACAACCACCCTACCACTCCGCAACCACAACCCCTACCAAAAAAATCGCCAAATTTGTTGCCGGGCAAACTACCACCACCTCTATCAACAATGACCACAACAATCGCCATCAACGCCGCATCAACCACAACATCACCACACACCCACCACAACAACGACATGACCACCACAATAACCACGACACTATCGCCAGAGCCACCACCACTATACCCACAACACCCAACCACCTCACCCACTCCGCAAGACAAGCAGTTGTTAGAGTTGATCTGCACCAAACACTACAACCGCACTCATTTACAGCTCCGAGTCGTCGTTTTAGTGCTTGGCAGCTTTCTCCAACTCTACTCCAACCACCTCTGGCCACTTCTCAAGCCATCCTCTTTGTCTTCTTCTTCCCTACTGGCTGATTCTGCTTGGCCTTGCCCTCCTTGGGCTCCGACTTGATGGTAGAAAATAAAAGCAAATATGCGAATAGGTGCAAACTCGTAGCGCTATGTGTCGCTGCGTGTCGACGATTTTTTTACAAAGATGTTGACCAACCAGAGGCATCGTGAGCCTAGTGTGGACAACGCTGTAGTGGTGGCACAGTAAAGAGAGAAGTGAGAATGGAAATATAAAGAGAAAATGAAGAGATTTGGATAGAGAAGCTAAAGTTAAAAATAATTAGGTTTTGAAAAATTTGGTAAGGTTATTAAATTAAAATATAAAACTATCATCTAATTTTTGTATAAACAAACTTTAAATCTGATTTTTGAAATTGAAATTTAAAAAATCTAGTTCTACGTAATTTCCATTTTGAGACACTGCACATAATGCACTTTTTCGAAAAGGAAAAATCTATTACAATAAAATATTTCACAAATTACCAAAA